TTTCAAACTAAGTATTACTGTGTGTATTGCTGTGTGTTTGTTTATTCTACATTGGCTAGAGGTATAGGGGAAGGTTGAGATCTCACTAAACATGTTTAACACCGCCACATGTTTGCGCCTGTCCCAAGTCAGGAGCCTCTGGCCTTTGTTAGCCTTGTATGTTTTTTTTAATTTTAGTTCATTTATATGTTTCGGAGTTAAGTGTAACGTCCATTTTCACTGAACTAGTACACATTTGTGTTTAAGGATCAGCGGAAGCCCGCCTTTGGTTGTGGGATTTTCTTGCTGTGTTGAAGATCCATTGGTGCCCTTGAGCTGATTTCTGCTCTTTGGTCGGGTTGTTGTCTCTTTAAGACATTCCCCATTTCCATTCTCAATTTTATCGATAATCTGTACATATCATTCATCAGAAAATCAGCCTATGTAAATGAAGTAGAAATTTGTTAGATCCCTCACATTTACGTTTCCGTCACAGTTCATTATAAATCTCATTATGGTTTTTATGTTTGGTTTTTTTTTGTCCATCCTGACATTGGTGTTGGTGCAAATTTTCTGAATACTGTTCAATGCATTTAAAACCAATTTTATATTCATTATAAACGAATAATTTAATTTTGGATGTAACCCATCTTCTGATTGGATGAAAGTTTTTTGTCTATCAGCTCATAGACATAATTTGTCATGTGACCGTGACATCATCAACGTTTTTTCCTGAATTACTCCTTAAAAATGGAATTTAGAATCATATTATAAGGACTGACTGTAATACTTTTTCTGTCTATTCGAAATAACCTCAAAAATGTCATGCACACTTTTAAATAACCAGCTTTGCACCACATTTTTTATGTTATTTCAAATAGGCAGAAAAAATATTACAGTAAGTCCTTCAAAGGTGTCATCTTTGGACCACTGATATCCCAATTCCCACAAAATCACATTTTTCTTATGATCAAGGGCTTTGGCCTGTAACTCTTGGTTTCCAAGTTGGAAAGTTAATGTCAAAATCTATAAAAACCAAACTGAAGCTGTATTTTATGGTCCTATCATTGTGTAAAAATTTCAAAAGATATGGTAAAATAATACTTCAATGATCATTGGAAAACACTTGAAAGGTTATATAAGGGAGATATGAGGATCTTTTGTTTATCAATAAGACAGCAACTAATCAAAACTAGTATCTTACATAGGATTATACATGTTAAAATTTCATTAAGGGTAAAATAACAACTTTGCAGGATGACAAACAAAATCATGATGATATAACATACCTTCTGATAATTATACAAAGCAAGCGTTGTTTCTGCACCATCTTGTGTCTCTATGAACAATAATTTGTGCTTCAATATTTGGTCTATAATACCCTGAAATGAGAAACAAAAAACGTAAAAGTTTAAAAAAGTGTATCCAACAATTTTTGTATTGATTGATGGCTTGTTGGTGTTTAACACAATTTTCAGCATGCTGGTTTAATTGTCTGTCATATTTGTTTTTCGTAAATTATATTGTTATAAACATCGATGTTGTTTAAACTCTGGTAGATAGTTGTCTCATTGGCAATCATACCACATCTCATTATTTTCATATCGGCTGCATCATGACGGCCAGTTTATAAAGATAGTTCAAATCTATGGTAGAAATCTTAAAATTCTGCTACGGTGTCATTGAAATGAATTTTATTTATGGACTTCAATAAATTGAAGGATTAATATTAGTTGTTTCCAGAATTGAGAAAGCAATTTTCTTTATAGGTAATTTTTTTTTGTTAGGCTTTCAATTTCATGAATAATGTCTGTCCAAGAATTAAAACAAAATTACAAATTTAACGAAAAAATTCTACTTTTACATAGATATATTATGTATAATAATCACATCATAAAATTCTGCAAACAAAAACTGTTACCAACAAAAAATAAACCTATGCAGAAAATAACTTCACAAACTGTAAACCACTAAAAAAAATTCCCAATGATTAATAAAAAAAATTGTTGTCTGGTATACGTCAATAGAAACTCACACTTATTGCCAAAGTGAATAACAAAAAATGCATAAATACTTCAAAAATCGTTGTTTTAATTTTTTTTATTTTTAGTAGACAATTTGATATTAAAAAAATAATATGTCTCCAATGTTACATGGGGATCAATTTAATTCATGACAAGATTATGATTAACTCAATCTCCTCGCACATTCTGTTGATTAATTTGTCAAAAGTGATCAACCTCAAGCTGAGATTTCACTCTTTTTTTGACTGATTATTTTGTTAAACTTTGATTAATTCCAAGCTGAGTTGTGTGAATCGCTTTGTTAGATTATGATCAATCAATTGATCAATTTGACAACTATCTATTCATGAATGATTTCTTTGTGTCAAACAAAACCACATGTCAGTAATACTTTTATATATTTTTCTCAGTGATTACAAAAGACATTGATATATTTTATTTTTAACAAAATAAATCTTGCATTCTGTATAAATAAAAAAAAAAGTCAGATTGTTTTAGCAATGTTCATCTTCTGGTAAAAATTGTGACAGCATTAGCATCACGCTAATTTAATCGTGCATTTCAAATTTTGATTGCATTATTTGTTTGCAGCACTTTTGAAAATATCATTAACTAGTCTCCCATTTTTGTCCACCGATTAACTTTAAATTTTCAAAAATTCTTTTTTAATTCAAATATTTTCCCCATAATTTTGTGTCAGTTCTTCAGAACAAAAGCCATAAAAAGCAAATATTAAATCATCAATTACTGTGAATTCATTATTAATGATGAGATACCAATTTTTGTAGATTTCATGGGTAAAGCTAGGTGAACCATGAATTTTAATGTTCAACTAAGTACAAATTTTTTAAAGACTTGTTTAGGCAAAATCACAAAATATAATATCCACAAAAATACAATTTTTCCTAAATCCACGAAAATTGGCACACACAGAAACAAATGAATCCACAGTACATATATAAAACAAACAACTCAAGATCGTAGAATAAAATGGTGATGCCAATTTGCAAAAACATTTTCCATCTCAAACACAGTTTCAGTATAACATATCTTTTAATCTTTAAAAGAATACATGGAGTTATCTCCCTTACAAAGAAATAGAAATTAATTCAAGACAATTTTGTGATTGACTCAATTTCATTTCAGTTTCTATTGATTGGTGTGTCAAAGACTGATCAGTCTCCCACTGATATTTCACTCTTTTTTAACTGATTGATTTGTTTAACTTTGATTAACTCTAAGATTAGGTTTGACTAGCTTAGGATTAATCAGATTAATCAAGGCTTGGTTAAGTGATTAATCAATTTTTAAAGAAACTTGATTTATTTTCTGACACCTTTTCTATGATTCCTAACATGATGTAAATTGTATTTCCCATGTCTATAATATTATGGGGCCATAAGTATGCTTCCCTGGGCAAATTAAATATATTTTGTGGCAAATGTTTCTGATACGATATAAATTATGCTAAAAATGAAAGAAATAGGTTTTTGTAAAACTGAACCAACACAACACAAAATAAAATAATTTGCACTGTTTTAATACAATCCAATTTTAGAACATTTGTAAAAGAAAGTTGTTCATTTTTATGTTCAAATTACTTCCCCTTAATTATGAGTGCTATTTCAGAATTTAAAACTTAATGAAAAAACAGCAATAGTTATATAGTTTTACAATTGAAATAAAGTAAGTTTTGAATTTTTTTTTTATCAAAATAAAAAAAAATCATTAAAAAATCCAATTTTACCTGTAATAATTACATGCATTTGCAAGATTGTGATTTAAAAAGAAAGGATATAAGATACAGAATTGTGCATACAATAATTAATAAGTATGTGGAAAGATTAAACTGCACATCACAAATATAAAAGAGATTTTAGATATCCCTAACTTTCTAAAATAAAAAAGGCAAAATTCCCAATTGTGTTGCACAATATTTTTTTCAAATTGAAACAAAATAAGATGCAATTTCCCTAAATAACACAACAATAACTTGAGTCTTAACATGTATTTATATGCTCATCTCTACAAACTGCGGTTTATTTTTTCAAATTGTTTTTTTGAATCTTTACATATTACAAACCATTTGCCAGCATGTTATTGGCATAGGTTGTATTTATACTTGAATGCTGGAACTTCTATGTCATTTCATCATAACTAATTTTTACCCTTCCCCTGTTTTTCATGGAAACATCCACCTCCAACTATGATTGGCTACACCGGACTGCATGCATCTTATTATTGACACGAAAGAACAAGATCAAAATCATGCTTAACATGTTAAATGAAAATTGAAATCTGTAACATCCCCATTTATAATATTACATTTATTCAAATTTATATGTTCTATAATTGAAAGAAATAGAATTTGGATTAATTAAAGATTTAAGTTTATTTTTTCAGTATTTAAAATGTTCTTTTCCAAATCAACAATAAGTATTTTAAGTCTGATGTAACTTTTATTCTATTCAATCAACTAAATCAAAATTCCATTCTAAGTTTATTTTTTAGATAATATCTTTCACCTTTAAATATCCCTTTTTTGTCTGAGGAAAAAGTAACAAAAGTTTAAAACATTTTTCACCTGTTTGAATTTCTGTAAAATTTGTTTTCTTTTTGGGATGGGATGTGGATAATTGAGATTATTTAAAATCAAAATATTTAAAAAAAAATTTTTTTACTGTAACTTTAAAGTCTTTTCTCCCTGCTGGTAAACTATCAAAACTGAAATCAATTATCAAATCAAAACAATCAAGTTCAATGACACAATCCAATCATATCCAAACAAACTTTGACAGTTGTGCACTCTTAGCTTGTGATGCATGAGTAAACATTGTCATTACATACACTCTTCCTTGTAAAACTCAATCAAAACATGGGCTTGGGAGTACATCAGACCCAATATGCAAATGACATCTGACATTCATCCAATCAAAATAGCTTATTCCTCAAAATGAACTTTTAACCTGGAAGTGTATATATACCCCACCTGTAACATTTTGCCACCATTCCTTTGAAAAACCCTGACAAGAAAAAGCAGTTCTGTGGTTCAGATTAATTTGAGAATTCTAAAATGGAGGATGATAAAGAATTTCAACAACCCAGAGAGTGTAGTAAGACACAAGAAATTGATGATCTCTATCAATCAGTTGCTGAATTGTACAGTGAAACCCCAGAAAGTTCACCTGGACCACAGAAATCTACATCTCTACCTTCATGGAGCTTCTCACCTATACCAAATACAGGTAATTATTTGTTTATAATGATAGCACTGTCATCTATTTGATTCAGGTATTGCATTACCTTTATACAGAATATTTAATATAAAATAGTATTTTCCCCATTCAGGTGCACCCTCTCATCAAAGGGTATCTGTCCCCAAGATATAAAACTGGTACATCTTATGTAAAATGTTAAATACACAAAACTTTTATTGAATGATGTTCATTTATTGAGGGTAAAAGTTACCAATTAGAAGCAATGATCATGGCAAAATTCAATTGGTAAAATAATGACAGATAGGTACAAGTCAAGTGCACCTCAATATGTTGACAGTGAGAAAAATATTGTACATTTTGAATATTACCTGTGATATAGGGGACAGATAGAATCTAAGTGCAATCTTAATTTTGGATCAGAAAAACAAATAATAATCAAAATTATAAAAAAAAACAATATAAAATAACAGATTTTGGAAAAAAGGGGGAAGGCAAACAAAAATTGTCCTGCCCAAAGTACCTGTGATATTAACATTTGTAGGTTTTATTCATCTATAAAATATGGAGCAACCAATTATGGAAAAGTTCTCAAAATGAGTATTAAACAGAAATAAGGGATATCTTTTCAGTGATTTTTGTACTTAGGGAGCTACCATTTGATTTTTATGGGGGGGGGGGCTAGGATGAAATTTGAAAAAAATAGGCAGGACAGGAGTTTTGAGTAAAAAAAAAGGCAGAATGAGATTATTTGCAAAAAAAAAAGGCAGGATGACAATTTATGTAAAAAAAAAAGTCAGGATAAACTAAAAAAAAAAGGCAGGACCGAATAGAGTGAAAAATAAAAAGGCAGGACCGAATAGAGGGAAAAATAAAAAGGCAGGACAAAATTTTTCATCCTAGCCCCCCATAAAAATCAAATGGTAGCTCCCTTATTACTTGAAATGGCACATGATCATCAAAAGTCAATTATAATAACACTTTTAACATCCCTTATTTGAGAAATAAATACTTATTTTAAGAACTCTTTTCCATTTATTTAGGGCTCAAAATATATAAATCAGCTCTTGAATGTCTCACCTCCATATAGCCCTTTGCACTAAGGGGAACAAAAACAAATTAATATGTAACAATCCATTTGATTGGTTTTGTCCAACCTGTTTTAATCATCGTTTTTCAAAGAGATCAAGTCATAAATTAAATACTGTAAATTTAGTAACTATTGCAATGGACTTAAAATACTTGACTAATGATAGTGATATAAGTAAACACGTTTACAAATAGCACTATTGCTATAAATAAAAGTATTGCAATGGTGGGGGTGGGGGTAATGTTATATAAGGAAATAATGCATACAAAAAAAAGTAAAACAACAAAAATACCGAACTCCAAGGAAATTCAAAACGGAAAGTCCCTTAACAATTGGCAAAATCAATGCTCAAACACATCAAACGAATCAAAAACAACTGTCATATTCCGGACTTGGTACAGGCATTTCCTTATGTAGAAAATGGTGATTAAACCTGGTTTTATAGCTAGCTAAACCTCTCACTTGTATGACAATTACATAAAATTCCATTATATTGACAACAATGTGTGAACAAAACAAACAGACATAATAGGTAAATAACACTACTTGTTTGTAAAATGAATAAAAACATGGCAACAATTAAGAATTTACAGTATTCAAAATAATTATTTTCCATAAAAGGAGATACATTTATGTGGTATACAGCAGTGAGATAGAAACCCAACAAACACAATAACTTAATGACATTACATTTATAATTTAATATGTACATGAAATTTATTACAAAGGTAGGGCTAAACAATTATGCATGTTAAGGGTTTGTTTATAAAAATAGGTAGGAAATCAATTAATTTATGCTGGACATGAAGCAGGATAGAAATGGTAAACTCATCATTCTTCCTGTTTCTAAGCCTTGCAGGAAGAAAGTTACTATTGCAGGACCATGTAGGTTTATTTCAAAAATATTTTACTAAATGTCTATACAAAATTAAAAATATTGTTTCAATTTTGCAGGAATCCATCTCTGTCAGCCAAGATCTACCACCCCAAATGAGTACAGCTACAATTACTCTGATATCAGTAACCATAGCAATGCTGAATGGCCGTATCCAATGTATAACTGGTATTATGCTGCCAACTACATGCACAGCAGAAGTATGGCTGAACAACAGCAACAACAGCAGCAACAGCCACAACCAGAAAGTGTCAAACCAGAACCAGGAGCTGTTGCAGTTTATAACATGCCTACATATAACGTAGAACTCTCCCGATGCTCCACACCAGAACTTATCTCAGTGCTTGCTAATTTACCAGCTGACAAACAAGAACACAGATCCACCTCTACAAGCTCGTCGGAAAAAGTACCATCAAATTCTCGTCATCATTATTATTATTCTCAAAGTTCATCAATGTGTGCGTCCCAGAATTCATCACACATGTATCTACAAATGGCTGGAGGTTACCAAGACAGTGGTTATAACTCTGATTTAAACATGTCACCGGTGTATCCATATCAACAAAAATCTGGTAACAATTCTCAGTACTATGTGAAGTCAACTGAGAGTGCAGTTAAAAGTGCTGATAGCTCTGATGATGAAAACAAAGAAAACGATATTCCACAAATAAATGAAATTCCGTATGATCAATTTGACAGAAATGACATGACACCAGAAATGACAAGTTCAGTGCTAAATCTGGCAAACTATTCTGATGAGTTGTCAACATTAGAAAGACAGATTCAATCTAGTGATATTTCGTCCAGTGAATATCCAGCAACATGTCTAACAAGGTTGCCAAAACTGCCAGAAAGTAGTCTACGTATTCCATGCAAAATGCCTTCAAGTGCTGTCGGTAAGCGTAAACTGTCCGAGACCACAACAAATATCAACTTATCAAGCAAGAGACAGCGACATAATCAGCCACTCAATAACGATGCTATCAAGGTCATGATGACATGGTACGAGTCACATCGAGACAGTCCATATCCAAACAAAGCTGAAAAAGATCAAATGGCCAAAGACGGAGGTATCAGCGTTACTCAAGTCAAGTCCTGGTTTGCAAATAAACGTAATCGTAATAACAACACTCGTCCAAAGGTACAGAAAAGACAAATGGAGGAACGTTTAATGGATATTTGTCACCAGCTAGCTCGAGATGCTAAACATCCGTCCATGAACAATGCCGATCTCATTCAACAGTTGTCGTCAATTATTACCATCCCAAGCAATGACATTTAAACTTTTTAAATGGATTACACAAGTGTTAAAAGTGATGTGACCTCTTTAAATGGATAACTGTTATTATTGTGAAAAGCAAAATGTATTGCGTCATGGCTGTGAATGGATAATTGTGTTTGAGACTAGCTGTATCCCTGTGTTTTGTGTTGTTTTAATTGTTGCACAGTATAGTGCTTGTATGTATTTGTGCTGAACCTTTAGTGTTCTATAAAACTGTGATTATTTGACAATGTGTTGCCAAACTATTTATTTTCCGTCCCCTTTAAGACAAAAGATTTTTAACCTAAGTAGGGCTTTCCATATAAATATGTTCTGTTTTGTTAAAAATAAATCAAATTGCATGTGTTGTATTTTTCTGAGTTGATAAAAATCATCTTCCTTTGATTACGTCTTGAGTGCTATTACATGTACCAATTTTACTATAGCAGTTGAGTTTTTATCAGTCAAGTCAAACATGCGTGTGTCAAAATAAATGCAATCAACAGCTCTGTCATTGCAAAGACCTGAAATGCAGTTACAGCTGCTTCACTTCCGAGTACATGATACGTAAGAGTAAAGACTGGTTCGAGCACATGACACGTAGAGGAGAGAGCTAAAACTGGTTAGCTTAAAGTGAGAATGATTGTGTCTTTGTTGTCTTGCAAACTATTATCCTGTGAACGTACAAAGCAGGGTTCATATTCATCTCACATTAACATGTTCTTGCCCTGCATTTGAAAGTAAAATATGCCACAGGATGTTAAAAACCCATCCATCAGATTCTTTATAAGTTCACCAAGCCATACATGTAGTTGAGGATACCATTTTTTCTCAACAAATGAAATCTGTATTACTTTTCCAGAACAGTTCTGTAAAGTTCATAATACAGGAAAAGCAGGAAATCCTGCAACAAGGTCACAATTAAAACACATGGTTTATTACTTTAATATGAATTATTCAGTCAAATTTATACCCAACAATAGTGTCATTAAATTGACACTGACACTCTATAAAGAAACTTGATTTATCATGCATTGGGCATTAAATGCACATTTATCCAGTTTAAAAGAAGAAAGGTTCAACATTAACCCCACCAAATTTTCTTGTACCTGTCACAAGTCAGGAACCTTGTCAGTGGTTTTCTTGTCATATCTTGATGTATTTTGACAATTAGGGAACTGGTGTTAACAGCAAATCTTTGTAGTCTCTGTTTATTTATTCTATTGTGGGCCAATTTAGAGCTTAAATTTTTGTGGGAATACCTGTTTATTGTCAAAGACTAGATTTGTATGTTGAGCTTTTATATTTTAGTGTCATTTTTGGTTGCTATCTCATTGACAAATAACAAACCCACTCTTTTATTCATATTATTCCCCACACTTTTATGTTTACCAGTCATCAAATTAGGTGTTATACGTGTAATCGACTACATTCCAAGTGATTTTTACGCTTTGTTTTTGTGTTATGCTGTTACACGACTGTCCTAGGTTAGAAAGTGTGGAGCGCTCACAAACCTGTTTAACCCAGCCACATTCTATACGTGCAATGTTCAGTTTTCTGATTAGTATGAAATTAATAACATGTGGTATGATTGCCAATTAGACCACTATCCACCAGAGACCAAATGATGTGGATGTCAGGAACTATAGGTCACTACGTCCCTCAACAATGAGCAAAACCCATACTGTATAGTCAGCTAAAAAAGGCCCAAACACTTCAAAATGTGAAACAATTCAAAGAACATATCATTGACATTTGGTATCCTGTTGCATAAGCACACATGCTTCTTGGTTTCAAGCTAAATTTTAGGGTAAACTTTTTGTCATGATCCACCGACTTCAACATTCAATAAACGTTTGAAAGCAAACTCCAAATTTTTGTGATGTTTTTATTTTTGCAAAAATTGTGATTGGATCTATAGGTTTGCAAAAATAAAAACTTACGTTTCAAATATTCAGCATTATTTGTATGCAGCATTTTCTTAAACATAATAATTAACCTCTCAGTAAACATAATAATTAACCTCTCAGTAAACATAATAATTAACCTCTCAGCAAACATAATTAACCTCTCAGTAAACATAATAATTAACCTCTCAGTAAACATAATAATTAACCTCTCAGTAAACATAATTAACCTCTCAGCAAACATAATTAACCTCTCAGTAAACATAATAATTAACCTCTCAGTAAACATAATAATTAACCTCTCAGTAATTACAATTGCTCAGCAATTGCAATAATAAATGCACGCTACGATTTCTAAAATTTACGGTGTATAAAAAGATAACCGGAGATACCAAAAATGAAGGACAGCACATGTACATAGGACCAAACCAACACGGGATTTCCAAAAAGTAAGCATAAAACCAAAGACCAACAACAACAAACAACACCTCTTCCACATAACCTGAATTGGTAAAGGCACAAAATGTGCTACCAGTTTAATGTGGGCACATCTAGAGTTTATCTAGTGAATAACATTAATCTTAAATGAATTTAAAATATCTTATTCAATGCATACGTTTTTCCTGTTTTCTCCCAACAGAATTGGACAAGAAATTACACAAGATAAAAATCTGGTGAAAAACTATCCATTACTTTAAATTTAAAGAACCCTTGTGACAACTTGTTTCCGTGTCCGTAGCCTATTTACAAACTTAATTTCTGCTCCTGTCCAATCTATCCTCTTTTTCAAGTGGCATTTTTAAAAACCATCCACTTTGCAGAAATTATTTACTTGAATGTAAAGCAATCAAAATTGCACGAAATACTACAAAATAACAACTATATCAATGTCTCAGTATTTTATTGCTGTTTTTCATCTAATCAGTCACCAGATGATTGATGTTGTACTATATATATTACAACCCTTCATAAATACATTTGCAGTTTTTGGTAAATCTATTGTAGCTGTTGTCAATTTAGCAGTATTTAATTATTTTCTTTTGACAACTTTGCAAACCATCAGTATCCACATACAAAAACTTGACCAACACAAAATTTTGGAGGCATTGGTTCGGTCAGTATTTATCAATTGTAAAGTGTACAAATCTTTTCAGACACACAAGGATCTCCATGACTTGTTTTATGATGGCGCACTGCCATTGTTAAATTATCTTCCACCATCGCCAAATGTCACACAGTTCTAATATAAATTAATATGGTTTACACTGAGTGCCTTTTACATGAGTCATGTTTTAGCGCTGTTCCAACGTCAAAGATAGTTTGTATCATAAAGCATGCCTTTTTATGTATGCTGATATCAATAGGAAAAAATGCAAATCCATGTTATACATATGCAATCAAATAACAATGATCCCAGAAAAATTAACTTTTGGTGCAAAAAATTAGATGGCAACCACAACAGAATATGTTTGACTCCCAGCCTGATGAGAAGTTCATACAGAAAACATAAACAGTTTCACATATTGAATGAATATTATGAAGAAATGATTAAAAATTGGAGTATCGTATTTGTGATATACCTTGGTGATCTCGTGGTAGTGCCAGCCTTGATCCCATGCTGAGTCAAACAGAAAGACTTAAAATTTTGAATTTGATGCTAAGCACATGGCATTTATGAATAAATGCAAGGATTTGTTGGCTTGGAGTCAGAGTAATGTCCAACACCATTGAAATGTCTTCCTGTGGAATGTCACCTTTTGTGCTAAATTGCTAAAAATCTTACCTATCATGTCAATATAAAATAAAGAGATGTTGTATTAATGACAATAAGACAACTATCCTGCAGATTCCAAATGAAGCAGATTTAAGAAATAATAGGTCACTGTATGGCCTTCAACAATGAAAAAAACGAATACTGTATAGTCAGCTATAAAAGGCCTGAACATGACAAAATGTGAAAATTCAAATAAAATACCCATCAGTCTAGTTCGAAAGATTCAAATCAGGGTTTATGTAATCAAATATTGTCCTAAACATGCATGTAATATTTGCCCCTGGACGTTATGAATCAGCCATCACTCAATAATGCTTTTCTCCTTCTTAATACACCTAAGAAATCTTCTTGAAACTAGTGATTCCCTTCATAATGTTTAAAGGATTAACAAGCAGTGTTTTGAAGATTTTTTACACCTTTAACATTCACCTTCTGTTCTTATGTACTGTCAATGTATCCTTCTGCCTTTGCCCTTCTGTTCATAATACAATGTTGTTTCCCTTACAAGATTCCTGTGGGAATCTTTAATCTCATCAGATATTTTAAGTTGTTCTATTTAATGTCAACAATCAAGAGAAAAGATGCACATGTTTCAACGATTTACTCTCTGCTACTGCAATAGTTCCAATTTTTTCAGAAGTTTTATTCTATTATGAACAAGAAATGATTGTAACAGGATGCTGTTACGAAGTCTCCCAAACAAAGCTCCCATAATTCGTAATTCCCAGGGTCGCCTGACATTAGGCAAAGTCCAGTGAAAATTGGTATGGTTCAGTAAAGTTATATGCATTAGTGATGCCTGGGGACTAACCCTGTATATCATTCAAATCATCTTGGCATGACAAACCAGAATATATATGGTTTAGGGGTGGGGATCTCGACCATTTACAAGATATTAGAACTTTCTCAAATGGCAGGGGGTCGGGATGACCCCTAGGGACTAACCCTGTATATCATTCATACCATCTAAGCATGACAAACCAGAATATATATGGTTTAGGAGTGGGGATCTTGACCACTTACAAGGTATTAGAACTTTCTTAAATGGCAGGGGGTGGGGGTGACCCCTGGGGACTAACCCTGTATTTCATTTGATGGGCTTTATCATGACAAACCAGAATATATATGGTTTAGGGGTGGGGATCTTGACCACTTACAAGATATTAGAACTTTCTTAAATGGCAGGGGGTGGGGTGACCCCTGGGAACTAACCCTGTATTTCATTTGATGTGCTTTATCATGACAAACCAGAATATATATGGTTTAGGGGTGGGGATCTCGACCATTTACAAGATATTAGAACTTTCTCAAATGGCAGGGGGTCGGGATGACCCCTGGGGACTAACCCTGTATATCATTCAAACCATCTAAGCATGACAAACCAGAATATATATGGTTTAGGGGTGGGGATCTTGACCATTTACAAGGTATTAGAACTTTCTTAAATGGCAGGGGGTGGGGGTGACCCCTGGGGACCAACCCTGTATTTCATTTAATGTGCTTTATCATTTAGAACATTTTCAATTAAAAAGATTGTGTCTATCACAAACGCTTTTCAATTTATAATAATTTGAAAATTTAAAAAAATAAAATCCCATAGGGTTCTATAGTAAAACCGTTCTTTCTTTTTGCCCCTCAAAGTACCCCTTTATAAACCCCATTGCACAAACATAA